AGATCATGCTGACTTGTAAAATATGGGGGCACTCACTGTCCTCTCACGATGGAGCCCCATTCTATTTAATTGACAGGTGGCTCCTCACTGACAAGGACATCATGGGTTCTACTTGCACAATCAAGATTCTTCTTGGACATCCAAAAATGAGGAGAGGAAGTAGAGAGGTAACAAATCTGCACTGGCATAAAATAAAGAACTCACTGAGTGCTTGCACTTCTGAAACAAAAAGTTTATTTCTTCTGTAAATGTAAAACTTCATTTTTGTGTGTGGGTCTTTAAAACAGCAGTAGTGAAAGGATAGTATAACACTAAATGAGGAAATTCTCAAGATAACATATCAATATGAGTCACTGCATAATCCCCCAAAAGTTTGACAACCACAACTTTAACCTCAAATGTCACAGCTCTGAGACACTATGTAGTATTAGAACATAGTTAACTTTCCTCACGCACAGCAGCAACACTCAACAGCTTAAAGCAGGAAATTAAGATAAATACTGGACACAGCAAAAAATCCTGAGGCATTAACATTACAGATGTAATGTTATTCTTCAAGCTGCAATCCACCCAGGACTACTGAGCATTACTGAACCTAGATCACAAAAAGCCAAAGAGGAGCTGATTTGTGCCTCCCCTGTCAAGAGCCAACCTAGGGCAGATTAATTAAACAAGAAAAAAACCCATCAACTTTATATCTCCTGTCTTATCCTATGCCAAAGAGGTGGGCTCTGAGGGAGGGAGCATAGCTCTCCTCCAGCAGGAGAAAGCAAGAAGAGACAGCAAAGAGGGAGGCCTTTGCAACTGTACTGCAGTTATGAATGCTGTGGAGAAGATGGATAGGGCTTAGTTATTCACTGACTCTTCTAAAAGAAAAATTAAGAGACTTAAATGAAGCAAGCAGGAGGTAGATTCAAAACACTCTGAAGAAGGTGATCTTCATGCAATGAATGGGGAGTTTAACTGTGGAATTCCTTGTATTTGGGTGTTACAAATGTAAACATTTCCATGAATTTCAAAGGGAAAATAGGAAAATTGACAGAGGATAAATCCATTTGAATAACAAAAAGAAACCACAGCTGGCTCAAGAAGTCCCTCAGCTGCCAGGGAGCCACAAGAATGAGGGTGTTCCTTGAGGGCCAGGAGCCAAGGGATATCCCAGCTCACGAGGTGGTGGCCTCACCAGCTAGGACACAGCTGTACCCAAGCAGCTTGGTGACCGTGACAGGGTCTCTCAACAGTTCAGCAGTCTTTAAACCAACAGGACTTATTGGCCCTGAACAGCCCCAACTGGGGCTCCCACTGCTCATGGGTGCAGAGGCTCCATTTACACTCAGGCCAGGGTCTTCAGCTCCTGAGTGAGCTACGTTGTAGGTGTACCTCTTTCTAGTACTGTCCTTGAGACGTTTGGCTTTCCTGGTTTGAACCTGGACCTGACATGTTACTTTATTTCTGCCTGATGATCACTGAATTGTTGGCAGCACCTTCTTTTGACACTACCCTATCTCTAGTTGCCCAGTTCAAGAACTGTGGGACCGCACCTTCTCAATGAGATCATCACCCAGCCTTCCTTGTGGCCATCCTTGGCTCCTGGCTTGTTCTCTGTTGTGGAAGTCTTGCTCTTGCTGCTCCCTGGTGGTTAGCTCAGGCCTTCTCAGGTCCTAAACTGACTGCCATGGAGCCTGGCCCTCAGATTAAGCTGGGGCTTGCTCCCATAACCTCCCTGCACCCAGATGTCATAATGACATAATGACCCATGACCACCCTGAAGTTTCTGTTTTGACCCAAGCCTTACAGGGAACTGTGATCAGTATGCAAAGACAGATCATAGCCCTTTTGGCTTCTCTAATCTCCTCTGAACCCAAGGTTACACCCCCTGGCCACCAACTTTAGTGATTTTTGGAAGCATATAGGCTTTGTCATGATTCAAATCAGCAGCCCTCAAGGAGCATCTCAAGGACAATCTGGTATAACCCTCTAGCTCAGCTGCCAGTGCCCCGTATTTTTTGTCAAAAAGAAATATGGGGGTTTCTGACCCTTCATAGAAGGAGCCTGCCAACTTAAGGTGGCTTCAGCCTACCTGGGATCCACATGCCAGCAGTTAGGGTCCACCTAGCACCCCAGGAACTCCACCCTGTGCTGTTGAAAAGAGCAAATTTCTGGGGTTTGACATGGACACGCTACTGCGCAAGTGACTCAGGACTTCCCTGGCATAGTCTGTGTGCTTGCCGAGCATCAGAGAACATGAAGATGTCAAGAATACCACTACATAGTTACAAGTAGGCTGTGCAGGCCATCACTAACAAAACAATGAAAGGTGGTCAGAGCACAGAAGAAGCCAAATAGTATCACAAGATCCTCATAGGGTCTGTATCTGGTTTCTGAAGCAACTTTTCGCTCCCCTTTCTAGCATGCAGGGACTGCAGAGTTTCCTAGAATTTGCCAATTTAAACAGATTTTCCAGCATCATGGCTCCTATAACAGCACCTACTTGGAAGGGGCCTCACCTTCTATGGGCATAAGAAGCACACACAGCTGCTGAGGAACAGAAATAGGCATTCACCACAGCCTACCTCACAGTCCTGCCAGGCCCTGGCTGGCATTTCATTGGAAAAGCAGATGCTTCTGTGTCATAGGGGCCATACTCTCCCAGAAGCAGGACCAAGGAGCATATGTCTATTTCTCTAGGCAGCTCAGCCTCCACTGAGAGGAATTATGATGTCTGGGGCAAGCAGCACCTGAAAATCAAAGCTGCCTCTGAGGAGTGGTAGCACATTCTTGAGGTAGTGGAAGAACCAACAGTGGCACTGACCTACCACCAGAACACAGAATACAATCGAGGGATGAGTTGCTTCTGTCCTCACCTAATCTTCCAGGATTTTCTCTTTCCACATTTTGTTAACTGTCCATTCGTCACTAACTTCTGTTTCCAAGCTGAAAATTTGCCAGCCACAGCAGCTGCCCCACATGTACCTGCGCCCAAGTGACTGTCAGACTGTCAGACGGGTTGTTGGTGCAACAGACAACAGTTGCTGTTTCTACCACAGCAAAAGCAATCCATCTGTGTCCTCATTCTTGGGATGAGGTTAGATGGCGCCTATGTCCATGGGCTCTTCCTCTGGGGGATAGTAAGTTGAGCAAAACGGGGTGGAGGTCTGCTTATGCTCTTCCTGTTAGAGCCAGGTGCTTCTCCAGTGATAGGCCTGTCTGAGTGCTCCTGGCTCTAGGGTAGGACAGCCCCAGCCATCTTATTTTTGAGGGCCTCAGACAGCCCTAAACTTTAGAGGGTCATGAGGGCTTGCTCTTCACACGGTTTCCACAATAAACTCCATGAACTGAATTGTGTAGTTAATGGGCAACCACTTTTCCTGCTGGAACTCCAGCAGGACAGTCTTGCATAGTTGCTGTCCCCCCAAAACTGCTCCAAGTGTATGGATAAGTCATCAGGTCTTGGGGCATAGAGCCACTGTCTTCCACTTGGTCTGAATCCACTCTTGGGTTGCCCTGAGAGCTGGGAGATTATTACTCCTGAGCATCTAATATTCCTATGAGACATACAGCCCCTGGATTAGCCACATTAGACTAATAAATCCTGATACCATTGTCCAAGTTCCCACTGAATGGTTCTAGAAGTTGGGGAGCAAGAGATGCTGAAGCAGCCTGAAAGGCTGCGCTACACCTCTCCATAGCTTCCTGCAGGAATTTGAGGTTAACCTGCAACTGATGGGCAGCCTTGAAGGCCAGGTTCTGTCAGCTCAGGGCTTGAGATATAGCGCAAGCTACCTGTCAGGAAGCAGCAAGACTGGGGCTGCTCTGCAAGGGATGACAGCCAAAAGCTGAAATAGACTGTATCACAGAGGGCCAGTGATCTCACCAACCAGGGCACGGCACCCAAGCAGGACAGCCTGGTGTCAGTGGCAACTTCTGTTGACAGTCCAGTGATCACAAGGTAAATGTGAGATGGCAGGTCAACTTCAAGTGCAACCCATGAAATCCAGTCAACGGGAGCTGCAGGGCACAGGGTTAGGCAGAGGTCTGCCAGCAACACAGCTTGGGAAAGGGCTGGAAAGGGCCAAGGTTTGAGCATCAATAGAGCCACCCCTGCAGCTATGCTGGCAAGGGAGCACGGGCACATACCTGAGGTTCCAGGTTAACTCCAGTGAAATCTGGAGGAGGAAAGGAGGAAAGAACATAACATAAACTCAGCAGCCACGGGAATCAGCTCCAACCACCTCGCACCTTCTAACTGGTGCTTAAAGCCGGGGCCGAACACATCTTGAAGGTGTCAATGACTGCAGATCATTTTCACTCTCTCCAGTCCCTTCAGTCAGTCATTGCTACACCCATCCTGAAGAAGCTGCACAAAGATTTAGGAAAACTTTAATGCAGGAACAGGCAAGAGAGGTGACAGATTCAGGCTTACCAGTTCTTCTGGCGTGAACAAAACATTGAAAATAGGGCCTGTGAGACCACCTGCTCCCAAACCACAATGAGTAACCATTATAGCATCCCAACTTCCCAATTAAAGATGAGGACAGACCTTGTTTGTGGATTTTTGTTTTACTTCAAATAAAAGCCTTATACTGAGACCCAGGTTGCAGTCCTAAGCAACAGAAAGACTGGTTTTCTCTGTTGTGAAGTACTAGATGTGAATATGCCTGAAACTATCTTAAATACAAGTAACAGAATTCAGACTACAAATTGTCTTTTATAGGTAAAACTGTATTTCAAAGAATGAGGAAACTGCATAGTTACTCAATCCATTTTCAGATTTAAAATTCAACTGTAGGGATTGTGTGTGTTATTGGAAAACAAGCAGATGCACTAAAGAGAGGTAGATAAAAAAATCATATATTCCTTGCCCCAAACCAGGCATTATACTTGGAAAAAAAAAAAAAAAAAAGTCAAATTATGTCAGTGTGTGATCACTGCATGAGGAGAAAAGTATCTTCCAGCTGAACTATTCAGTAAAGCTATACGGAAAAGTTACCACCAAAACAGCCAAAATAAAATGTCTTTATTGCCTGATTTGGGTTAGCACCTTTCTTAGAAGTGTGTTGTCATTTAGAACAAAACATTAAATACAGGGGATATCATTTAAGTCTCCACAAACCAGAAACTCTCAAAGTAAAATTACACCCTTTAGCATTGCAGATATTTGCTTAGACATAGAATTTCAGCACTAATGCTTCTGCCTGAGGTAGTCTGATGTCCTTGGTTTTTAGTCTCAGCCTCCTATGCTCACAAACCTGCAGGTTTGTTTATGACACCCAGTGTGACTACATGATGATATTTAAGAAGAGAAGTACAGTAAAAGGTCAATCATTTTAAAACCATCCCATTTCTATCCCAAATACGCTGGCTTTTTTAAACATGCAGCTGGACTGTGCCATTCTCTCCATACTTCAGCTAAGACAGCTCTTTTACTTAAATGTTACTAATGAACATTCTAAATACATAAAACTGTCCTTATCTGTACAAATCCACATTTTGTAAGTTGTATCAGACATACTGCCCAGTATCAAAGTAAAATGTACAATAATTTTCTAGTAAGTTACGGCCATTTAACTATGATTTTTCCAAGGCACAGTAGACAAAAGAGCTACAATGGCAGATCAGCCTACCACAAGAAAATTTTAACCTTCTAATGAGACAATGGGACATATTTGGCTCAGTTGTTTGCATTGAGTGACATAAGGCAGCACAAGAAGTATAACAAGGAAACTCAGATGTCCCGGGTTTTTCTTCATAATCACAATGAATACTGGTTTCCTATACAAATGAGATACAAAACAGTAAAATATAATATGGGAATATAATTTTATTGTGTTAATCTGCATATGTATTGGTACAGCTGTTCTGTGAATGCTTCTGAGGAAAATTTTTCCATAACTCTGGCTCTCCCAGCTGCTCCCATTGTGTCCTTTAAGAGAGGATCTCTCACAATTTTTTCCATGGCCTCAGAGAATTGCGTTGGCAGAGGATCACATAAAAACCCTGTAACATTATGCAAGATTGATTCTAATGGACCACCTGAATTAACTGCTATAACTGGACATCTCATATACATTGCCTCCAGAGGAACAATGCCAAAGTGTTCATTGCTTGGTGTGTAAAGCACACATACAGAGTTACTATAAAGAGAGATTTTCTGTTCATCTGAGAATGATCTCAGAAAGGTGACGTGGTCAATAACACTAAGCTTGGCTGCAAGTCTCCTCAGCTCTTCGTAGTGCTCCACGTTTTCCAGGACTCGCTGATCATAACCACCTGCCATAACCAGGTGAACTTCATTCCACTGATGAGAATCAAGTCTTCCTTGAAGCTCTTGCAAAGCTTCAAGAGCCAATGCTAGATTCTTTTTTCTCTCATATCTATTAATAGAAAGAAACAAGAACTTTTTCTTTTTGGGTATCAGGTCCTCTATGTCCGTAGGAACTACTGTTTCAAAGCTACTGATGTTGAGCGATGGGTAGAGGACATCTGGGTTTATGTGAGATAAAGACTTAAATGTGTCCTTGAACACGCTGGCGGTGAACTTGCTGTTCACAACAATGCAGTCTGCCATGCCAGTCGTGTACTCCTCCAGCCAGTCGAGCGGTAACCTGTAGATGCGCTTCAGGAAAGATTCTCTCTTGGTCAGAAGCTGATCAGGAAAGTGACAGTAAAACAAAACCTTCTTGCGGGTTCTGGCCAGCCTAAGCACAGGAATGCAGGCAGACACCTAGAGAGACAGGACAAGGAGAGAGGTTCATTATTTGTGTTAGTGTTGCTGTTAGTGCGTACATGTGATTTTAAAGCCACGGCCCATGAGCTGGCCCTTTGCAAGCCAACTGCCTCCTTCCTCTCCCCTCCACAAGCTGCACTCCCTCATCCAGGGTCTCTTGCTGAGCCTCCAGGCTTCCTCTGTCACCTCGGCCTGACTCAAGACTCCTTCCCCGCCCAGGCCCCGCCAAGCCTCCACACATCTCCTCCAGCCAAAGCAAAGGTCGGGAGGGCAGCCCAAGCGGCGGCGGCCCCCTCAGTGCCCGGGAGCCCGCCAGCACCCCGCGCCTCCCCTCCAGCCTGCCCCCGCCGCCGCACCGGGGCGTCTAATGGCGACAGCGGTACCTGGTCGCAGACGAAGGCGTCGGCCGACTCGTCGCTGAGGAGCAGGATGTAGAGAGCCACGAAGGCCATTCGCAGGGCGGCGCACAGGGCGTGCCCGCGGCCCCACAGGCTGCGGGGCAGCCACCCGCCGCACCGCCGCACCGCCAGCCCCCGCGTCTCGGCGAAGCAGCGGGCCGGGTCGTAGTGCGCCGTCCAGATCTGCACCCGGCAGCCCCGCGCCTGCAGCGCCAGCGCGGCGTCCACCACCAGCCGCTCCGCGCCGCCCAGACCCAGGTCCGGGTGCAGGAACAGTACGGACGGGCCCTCCCCGCCCGCCTCCGCCATGGCTGGCTGCGGGGGGAGAGCGGCGGCACTTCCCGCCCGCCCCCCGGCACCGCACCGGGCCGCAGCGCGCAGGCGCGGGCCGCCGGCCGCAGCAGGACACGTCAGCCTTCCTCCCGGGCCTTCCCCTCCCTCACACCCGCCGGGCGGCCCGCGGCGCTGCCCGCCGCCTCGTCCCTCGTCTCCCCGGATCATCCGCCCCGACCCGGCCGCCGATGTGGGATCGAGGGCTAGCGAGGAGTCGTGCCGGGGCAGCTCCCTCGGAAAGCGGCCGGTGAAGGGAGGTGGGGAGGGAAAAGGGGCCAGCGCTGCTCAGGCATCGCGCCGGGCAGCCGCCGGGCCCCGGCAGGCACGGGGAGAGGCGGGGCCTGCTGCAGGCAGGGACGTGGCCGTAGCGGAGGGTGTGTGAGGCTGTGCGACCCCCGGATCCAGCGCCGCCGCTATGGTGAGGTTCTGCCCCGGGCAGGGGGCGGCTGAGGCGCTCCCTCTCCCCCCGGCTGTGTCCACCGCCGCCTCACGCTCCCTCCCGCTTCTCTCCTCTCTCCCCAGCCCGGGCCCAACCCCAGCGCTACCAGCGTCGGCTCCTCCGGCCGCTCTCCCAGCAAGGCCGTGGCTCCCCGCGCGGCGGGTTCTACCGTCCGGCAGAGGTACGTGCGGGCAGGGCGCTTGCGGGCCCGTCTCGTCAGGCCTCGGGGCGGCTGGCCGTAGCCCCAGGCGGTGCTTAAGCCGGCCACCGCGCTCGCCCGGCTGCACAGGCTGGTGGCCTCAAGCGCCCTGCTTTGGCAGAGCCTGTGGGGGTGGTTAGTGCTGGGAGCCGGCAGGCTGCTAACGCCTTTCGGTCTTTCTTTCGCCCCGTTGTCCCCTGAAGGAAGAATGCCAGCTGTGGGACGAGAAGTGCAGGCCGCGCCACTTCCACGGGGACTGGTGGGATGTGGCGATTCTACACTGAGGACTCCCCAGGGCTCAAAGTGTAAGTTGGGTATACGGGTGGTGGCAGGCGTGGGGCTGTATGTTTCAGCTACTTATGTAGTGTTTCAGTCATTGGATTGAGAGATCAGTGTTCTGCTCCGCGTGGGAAAACGTGCTGAATTGATGGCTGCTTGGATAGATTTGGGATGAGAAGTTTTATTTAATCTGTAAACCTGGAGAGGTATTTTTTAAAGTGGCTTTAAAAAGGTAGGTACAAGTTATATTTTGCAATTGTCTAGGCTTACCTTAAGTGGTCTTTGAAGACTGCGAGCAATCCCTTTGAAGGTGGGAAAGATTACTTGTCACAGTGAATTTAGGCACCTAAATGCATGTTTTTGTTTTGTTTTAATTAAGCTTTTGGTTTTTATTTACTAATAGATACGTTGTGATCCTGCACCCTCACTTAGAAACATAACTGCTGTGCCATATGCTTGCAGAATCTCAGGTGTTTTTGTTAAAAAGCTGCTGATAGATTATTTCAGTTAAGCTTGCAAAGTGAATAGCATTCTGATACCTTGTAGATCTCTGTTTTTACAGGGTGAATATTCTGAGATTATGGCCAAATATCTGGTGGTAGTGTCCCTTAAGCTGTAAAGAGAGCCTAGGTTTTCACTTTTTGGCCAGTTTGAATCTTTCAGGTCAGTTTCCCAAACAAGCTTTGCAGCTTCATACTTGGGTCACAAAGGTGGAAAGTGTATTTCAGCTGATGGATGCGTGCTAAGTCATACCCTGAGTGGGAGTTTGTGCTTCCTGTAGAGCTATAGTTCCTGGCCTCTCGATCTTACTGAGTTGAAGAGACTCAAGGCACTCAGGGATGTCCCTGTTGCTTTTGTTTTCTAGAATCCATTACTATTTTATTTTGGAGACCTTTAAAAGGGCTTCTGCTAGCTGCACAAATCATTTGGGGAAGGGCTGGTGATAGTCTAGTGACTGTTCTGTGAGTAGTCCTTCCTCTGAAGTTGGCTTACATATTTTCATATGTGCTTGACACTTTAAAAACAAAAACTATGCAGCAAACCATCAAAGTAGTGGTGTACTGCTACTGCAGGTCTTGCTTTCTCCATTCTGAATCCAGAGAAGAGACAAGGCAAAGAAAAGATAAAGACGGTGAGCAACAAAAGTGTTCTAGAGCAAATCTATGCAGATAGGCAGGGCAACTGTTTTCTGTGTTGTTTGGTCTTCTAAAACTCAGTTTAAAAAAAAAATCAATAAAACCAAAATGAGGAAAAAATAGAAGCGTTCTACCATTAGGCAGATGTATTTTTTTCCCCAATAGACTTGTGATACAAGCTGTCAAAGCAGCTTGAATGGCCACTGAGTCATTTTAGTCTTCAGTATAAGCACGTCAGCAGGTAGATTTTCCCCTTCTACTTATGTTGCAACATAGTTCCCAATTTTAAGGTTTAGGAACCCTGGGAGTGTTTCTTTCTGCAAGCTGCCATGGGTAGCTGTATGGTCAGGCTTTTAATAGAAGAAACAAATCCGTAAAAGTGAGTTGGCTTGGGAGCAACTTTCTTGCTTACAGCATTCCATGTATTTTTCTATGTATGTTTTTTTCCATAGCAACCACTTGTTATGATATCTGTCCTATCCAGTAGGCTTAAAAATGAAAATTAGTTATAGAGGGGTTGTGGTTGCTTCAATAAAGTGTTTCAGCCAAAGTTGTTTCTGAAAATGGTTGAGATCACTACTGCATAAAGCAATGTAAAAGTTTAGCCTGGTGGTGGGTTGGGGTTTTTTTGTGTTTTCTTTTCTCATGTTTCTCATAAGCTCTTAAAATTATTATGAAAAAATACATAAAAACACTTGAGAAGAGGTTATTTCATGCTAGCTATGGTCAGGAGAATTGTACTCTAGATCTAAAGTTTTATATTGTTGGAACTATACCTTTGGTGCTTCAAGTATTTAATTTCTGTACTCAACATCAGATAATAAATATGTTGAATAAGCACATTTTGTTTATCTTAGGAAAGTAAGTTTATCTAGTACAGGATGCTACAAAATATATATGTCTTTAAAAACAGTATTAGCAAAAGAGTGCTGTGGGGGATCTGGTTGAGAGTGGGATATGACGTTTTCCTCTTTCAAACTCAGATCAAGCATCACATAGTTTGAAAAGAAGATTAAACCCAAATGTGTTGCTATATTTCTATGGCACTTGGTACCTGTGGTTCCTGTATCCTGTTTTGAACTTTCTTGCTTAAAGAGCTATAAGCATTGTTTCCTGTGGAGTCATGATATAGAGTCAAACTGGGCTTGTGGTATAATATACAGCCTTATGAAAGGCGTTCTAAGAATGCACACTATCAGATCTTTAGAGGTGCCTGAGTTGGTTGGTTTATTTATCTATTTGAATTGCGTGGTGGGCTGAGAAGATTCAGGTGTATGGAGGAGAATTGCAAGGTTTCAGCAGTTTGTCTTTGGGACTGGAGGAAACAAGATGCTCATGTCAGTATTGGAAAGCTGATAATTCTGTAGAGGGGCCAGTGTCATCTGCATGTTTTAAAAAAACCACCAAAACCACAAAAAATCCCCCCCTGGTTACTCCATGTTGTTCTGTTCTGGTTAGTGGTGCTGCCCTATTCTTGTGTGCCTTTAGCAAGGAGTAGCTTACATATTACTACTACTGAAGCCTCAAATGAATTAAATAGTAATTCAGATACAGTGTAAGGACTTCATGCATCTGATACCATTATGATTTATATTATATATATTATAACTTCAAATACATACGAAACACTGGGGATTGAGAAGTACATCCTGTTGCTTAGTGAAAGGTATCCCTTGATAGGGGTTGTTTAGGTCGTCATTGTGTGTGCAGACTTTTTCCCTTTTGCAAGTTTTGTCATCAGTTTATTTGCTAATTGTTTTATGTCGATGTTCAGGGTTATCCATACCCAAGTAAGTCTAAGTATGATAGATAATAATTGAATTTAAAAACTCAACATAAGATTACAGTTACGGACATTTAAAGTATATGGACCGTGATCTCATAGAAAAATAAGTTCGTAAATTATGTCAATCCATTTTCAGTTTCTTTTTCTACTTTGTATTCAAGTAACATTTTCCTGCTTATAAACAGTAACCTGGGGGGTAATCCAGGCTGGATAATAGAATTCCTGGTGTTTCTCGCAATAGCAGGTTGAAAATCAGAAATGAGATTCTATGAAGTGAGTGATGTGAAGCAGTGTTGAGTGTGAGTAATTGTGTAATAGTGCGTGTAATTGTTGTGTCTCAGAACAGCGTGAAACAGCTGATTTAGTCTCTCAACATGCACCCTGAGATTAAGCTGTTGTTTAAAAACATCACTATGCAACTTCTAAACAATGTATAAAAGTGGAAAAAAGCTGAGAAATTTGTTAATTTGTGTGTTTTAGGTAATGATTTAATGATGGAGTTAACTTTGACATTCTGTGTATCTTTTTCAAGAAAACAGAAGTTCCTGTCTCTCGCCCACTGCTGCTATTGTTTTCAAATGAAATAAAACCCCTGAAAAAACAGCTAATGTGAATTTTATGCCAAAAATTTACTAGCCGCTAGAGGACTCTGTTGGTTTTTGTATCTGACAATATCTCTACTCAGTTGGCTATTTGAGCAGTAAATACAGATGATAATTTTCCGGAGATTGTTTTCACAATGATGAGTAATAATGAACCATTAATTACCTTTTAAATAAGTGTGGAGTTTTATTACTATTATTATTATATTATGCTTTATAGTATATAACATTTAGGGTGTGTAAAACTGTAGCTTTGAAACAGAAGGGCAGCAGCAGATTTTAGTAGAGTTGGCTCTCATTTCTGTGTGCTTTCAGGGATTTGTGTGGGAATGGAATAAGAGTTTTCTCGTACAATTGCTTATGAACTGATGAGTTCACTTGGCTGACAATGACTGGCCTTTGGACAAAGCAGACTTTTTTATGTTAATGCGTATTTTTTCTTTATTTTTAGTGGGCCTGTTCCAGTTTTGGTCATGAGTCTTCTTTTTATTGCTTCTGTGTTTATGCTGCACATCTGGGGTAAATACACTCGTTCATAGACTCAGCTGCCAACTTAAAGCATACATCTTGGACCAAAAATATGGTGGATCCTGGTTGTTCTTGGAGAGAGACTGGGGAAGTTTCCTATCACCTGTTGAAGTCCTGTCAACTTTGGCTCTAATACTGAATTAATTTCTCAGTTTGCTATTTGGGCAGGTTTAAAGTCTGTCATGGGTCATTTTATATTTGTATCTGTACACTTAGAATACAGGTATGACAATAAAAGTTGTATATGGAAATAGAAACAGCCTTAACTGTATTTTTTCCTCCTATTCCCACATGCCACAACTAAAACATTATACTTGTGGTTTTCATACGTAACCATATTTCTGAGTAAATGCCATTTGACAATTCAAACCGGATTCTTCTATACTGTACATTGCTATATCACTGTATGCCGGAAGATTATTTTTTTTGTGAATGGAAGAGGCAAAATCAGGTGCACAAACAAGCAAAGGTAACAAACGTGTTTGTTGAAATAAAACTGAGGTACGCTAGTTGAGCTGGTGATGTTCTTCTCTTAACTCCGGAAAAATAGTTGGATTGATTTCATTTATTTCCTACAGGCAAGTTAAACTTTACTCAGTGCTCATTGTATATATCATATGTCATATCATCACTCTAGTTTCCTTCTGGGTGGTGTGCTTTATTTTCCATTTGAACAGTCAGAGAGCTCTTCCTTCTGTTTTTAAAGGTAGATACATATTGGTACATTAGCATTTCTGTTGCTTCTTACTGCTGATGTGGTCTTGAGATTCAGATAATTGAATCAGGTCTTTCCGTACAGTTGGATATAATTATTTTTGCCTGTTCATGTTATGATTCCTGTTTGAATATCAGCTTGTAATGGGAAAACAATGTTCTTGGTTACGCAGCATGAGGCAAGTGTTGACTGCTTACATGGAGAAGCAGCCTCTCTTTAAAGCAATTCTTAAGGTAGCATTACTTCTGAAAAGAATAAACTGTTCAGAACAAATACAAGAAGAAGGGTTGTGGTCTCAGGGCTATAAAGATAATTGCTTTGAGCTGTGCTTATGCCATAATACCCAGTGTAAAGGAAGAGGGAAAGATAAAAAGCTTAGAGCAGAAACTGAAAATTGTCTTACAAAATGTAATGGTAGCAGAGTTACCATTGCTGGAGTTACTTTAAAGACAGGTAGACATAGTGCTTAGGGACATAGCTTGGTGATGGGTTTTGTCAGTGTTAGGTTGATGGTTGGACTAGATCATCTGATAGCTCCCTTCCAACCAAGGTAATTCTATGATTGCATTTTTATGTCTACTCATATGTGATTGAAATTCAAGCTTGGCTGAGCTGACTGTTAGAAACTGTAAATATCCTTTTAGCCTACATAAGTGCTACAGAAGGCTCTAGGTCCACAAAGATCTTTACTTTGTCTCCTTAGCAGTAAAGGTTCAGGAAACATGGAAGAACATACATTTCCAAAGAAGATATGATAAGATACTGGAATCTTATTCTTGACTTAAAAAAAAAAATAATAATCTGTTCCAGTCTCCTCAGGCTACATTATTCCTCAAGTGAAAAAAAAGAGGTTTTATAGGGAAATGGTGCTGTTGTACATGAGTACATCTGTGTCAGTTATTCCCCCGGTAGATCTAAGTATGTGTCCAGTTATAACAGAAGAGTAGAAGCTGGAAGGCAGTGTTCTTGAGGGCTGGATGGACCAGGTAGCTGGTAGAAGAGGGAGACTGTAGAAGTTCTCTCTGATCGAAAGATTCTCACTTTTAACTTTTTACCTAGAAAGAATAGGGGCAGAGCTAGACTTCCTAAGTGCCTTTATAATTGGAAAAACTTTACTCTTTGCTCTTGCACCTTTCTGCACGCTGAAGTCAATCACTCACAAGCTGTGGATCTGTAGGGAGGGGGGCTTCACTAGTTCTGATGTTTCAGAGCTACCTTTTACTTCTGTTGTCTGTGTAGAAGCCGTACACAAAAACAATCTCCTTTTTCCCCCTTCCTGCTCTAGGCTTTGCTATTTACTGGTATCCAGTTGTTAACATCCAAGCCAACCTTTCTTGTAGTGTGCACATAGCATGTGAACTCCTCCCATCTTTTGCCATCATGTCACGATAAATTCTGTGGCTCTGGTAATCACTCACAGTGTTTCTCATTCTTGAAGGGGCCAAGGAGAAGGGCAGTTGTTCAGGTGCATAATTCATGACTGTCACATGCCCAGCTCCTGTGTAGCAGAAGGACTTTTTTGTTTGTTTGTTTTATCACATCAGATCCTGAATTTACCATCTGAGAGGAAACTGACAGGTCTTTCCAATGCCTCATCTACATCCAGCTGTTTCTTAAGCTCTCTGAGCCTATCAAACATAACATAAATTAGCATAAGCTCTCTTCAGCACTGTTCATAGAAAGTTACAATGCCATTACTACCAGCATATATATAAATCTGTATAGATACACACATGCATGTGTATATGGTTGCTTTATCAGTTTAGAAATGCAAAAGGATACGTCTCTGAAAATGTAAGACAGTATGCCCTTATTAGTCTGTACCATGACAGCAGTGCAAAGAAGCAAACAGAACAGCTTGTGTTCTCTTCCTCAGCTGTGTTGGCTAGAGATGAGTGGATGCTATACTGAGGTCATGTGGAGAGGGCTAAATGATTTAATAAATGTATTAATGGATTCTGTGAGGGACTTGGTAGAAAAATTTTTTTTTTTTTTTTTTTTTGGTCTGGAAAAAGAGATACCTATTGTTTTTTCAAAGGCTAACTTGTTATATATTTCTAGCTTTGATAATAAGGCTGCATATAATATTATTGTGTTAGCTCTTTATATAAATGCATTTCATAAAAGGCTATGTTTTTTAGACTTGGTATTGTTAGTAATACATCAGTACTACTAATTTTTCTTAATTGGGATGTGAGCTATAGGAAGAGACTGTCTATCTTTTTGGCTTTTGTTTTTTTTTATTGAGGGGATAATTGTATAGCATTTGTGATTTCTGCTTTGATTTCAGAAGCTGGTGAAAAGGAAGGCAGGCAAAGGAAGAGCAGGTTTGAAGTTACTGAGTGCACCTCATCCCTCACATGTATTGTGACCTTTTTCTCTTCTTCCTTCTATATTCTAGTTGTCTCTTTTTCTTTGGAGACTGCCAATTACCCTGAATTGTGCCATGGAGTGGGATAATGCCCTGATGCAGAGGTGTGGGAGGTAGTAACAACAGTGAATGGAACAGACCCATTTTACTTACGACAAAATCCAGGTTCAGCTGTGGATCGCCAGAGATCTGACACCTTTGTCTTATATTTAGCTGCAGGTTGCAAATAGTTATTCTATTTTCTTATTTTGAAGGATTTTTCAGTCATCTGCTTTCCAGAATAGTGTGTGTATAGGTCATAATGAAATGTACTTTGGAACAGACTCCTGGACATCTTTGGTCCAGCTCTGCCCACAGCAGGGCAAGCGTCGAAGCTCAATCAGGTTGCTTTGGGCCTTGTTCAATTGCATTTTGAAAATCTCCAAGGAGGGAGATTTCAGAGATTTTCTCAGCACATGTCCCTGTCTTTAACCACTCTCTGGTGAAGATTGCTTTCTTAAGTCCCATTAGAAGTTCCCTTGTTTGACCTAGCAGTGATTGCCCCGACCTTTAGCTGTGCATTGCTGAGAAGACTCTGGCTCCATCTACTCTCTAACCTTAGGTAGGTGAGGACAGTGGCTAGCATTCCCCTCTTTGCCCACTTTTGCTAAACAAACCTGGTTGCCTCTGTCCCTGTATGTCATGTGCTCCAGCCCCTAACCATCTAAGTGGCCCTCTCCTAGATTCTCCAGTTTGTTATTGTTTCTTTTGTACTGGGGGCACAAAAATAGACACAGTGTTCCAAATGAGTGTCAAATAAAGGAGTATCTCAATGATTCTATGATTCTATGATTACTTCCCTTGACATGCTCTTTGTGCATCTTGCTGTGCGGTTAGCCGTCATCACTGCAAGGGCATGCTGCTGGTTCATGCTCTGCTTGTCCACTGGGACACCTAGGTCCTTTTCTGCAGAGTTGCTCTCTGGTGAATCAGTCCATGTCTTATTGCATGATGTTGCTTCATCCAAGATGCAGGACTTTGCATTTGTGTCTCTTGAACTTTAGAGGGGTTTTGTTGGCCAATTTCTCCATACTGTTAAGGTCCCTTGGATGACAGTGCTATTCTCCAACCGAACTACCACCTTCTGAAATTTGGTGTCCTCACAAACTTGCTGAAAATGCAGATAATGAGACCAATTACCTTCCTGCCAGAAGGATGAGAATGAATCTGTATCACTGCAGGTTTACTCTAAGCTCCTGTCCCTGTTTTTGAGCATCCTCACAAAAAAACCTGATATGTCTGGGCTTGTGTGCAAGGCTGGCATCGGGACACTGGATTTCACATAAGAGCAGGCTCTAGCCCCATGCTCTGCTTTGCATGGAGGATGTGAGTGAAAACTCAGACGCGCTTGTGAGTGCTTTCCCAAAATTCACTAGGCACTGTTCCCAGGCCTTCTGCTTGTTCATTTCTCACTCACCACCTGTGCATTCAGATCTATTTGCTGGCTCATAAACCAACTTATATAAAGTTCTTACTTCTCAATAGCCTATGCCATTTCTGTTATGTGTAGGTCTCATGCAGACCATCCTAGAAGATGCCTACAACATGCACTGGGTGGCCAGAGCAAGACCTAGAAGTTATTTTCTGATATGGTTTCAGTTAAAAAGTATGCTTTTCTGAATTTCCTCTCAGCATTCCCGGTGATCCTAGTAGAAGGAAGAAAACATCTAAATATACACTTGCCTTTTATTCTTTCTTCCCTTGAACTAATTCTCTGGAAGGAAAACAGGCTTTACGAATACAACTGTAGCCATTCTGCCAGTCACTTTGCCAATAAAAAAGGGTTCAGTCTCTGGGATATCTCCCTAAAATGAGTTAAAGCCCCTACAAGCTGATATCTGTGTATCCAATTGCTGTGTTTTGTAGACAACTTCTCATCCCTTTGTCTCCACAGATGCAGATTTTTAGCTAACTTTACAAGTCACCCTGTCCCCCATCCCTCTTGCCTGCTCGCTGTCTGAAGAGCCACTCACAGGCTCATTGTTTGTTGGGATGAAAATCCTGGTTCTTTCTCTTGGGAGCATTTGTCCATCGAGAGTCTCAGGGCTGGGTGGTCTTCTGCCCATTCTCAAGTAGACAAGATGCTAACAACTTTGAGGAAGAATCCTATTAGTGTAATCCCAGGTAACTGC